TATTTTATATATATATATTGCGACAGAGAATTTCTTTCTAAATATATTCTAATAAATACATAAACTAACATAGACTTTTTTTGGATCTACACTCAGAAGATTTCAGTTAATAACTATGAGTTGTTACTATCTTGAAACACTAATGTCGTTTGTTAGTAGAAAGTAACCATGGTGTTCTTCGATCGATGATGATTAATTACCTTTGTGCATTGTGAATTAAAGAGTATGGTCAATGCGATGTTACAAATGCTTTAAAACAATTTTTGATTGGTCAATTTGTAAAATTCTTTTTCAACCAAACGCTTCAACCAAAGCATTTAGTGAGACTTTGACCGCAGCCAAAATGTAGCAATTCTTGCTTAATTAATATTACAAAACATGTATTATAGTTCATACGACTTATTTTCTTGCGCTAAATAAATAATTAATAAAATATTAAATATTAATAATATGAAGAAAAAAATGTATTCTAATGCTATAAACAAATTAAAAAGCAATATATCCAGATATATTTTTATTAATTATCATTGATATGGCATTGATGAAAAATAAAAGCTTAATACCTTTCCATATTTTTGTTATAATATTAAACATTGAATCATTGCAGATTGATGCATTATATTTTGAAAAGAAATTTGAAACATTAATTTAATATTTTCTTACATATTAGAAATGCATTCAAAATTGTATTATCTTATTAACATTGTTACTATGTTTTAATTTCGTAATGAAATAATAGGTAGATTACTCAAAGCTGATAATTTTCACAAATGTTATCATACCTCAAAGTTATACATGAAATGAGAAAGAGAGAGAAAGAAAGAGGGAGAATAAAACGGTTTGTTTTTGTAATTGAATATTATATATGCATGATATAAAGATCTGTATGTAAATATATATATTATTTATACACATATTCTCATACATTGAAAAAAGAGGGTATCTTGACTATTTAATAATATGTTTTTTTTATTAATTAACATATCTCTTTTTTGTAGTATATTTGCAACATTATTTATTAGCTCTTCGTTGCAAAAATTTATGGCAATTATGAATTGTATTAAGATTAGTAGATATACATATAGTTACGTTATCTATCTATTATCTAAAATTAGAATTATGAAAGTAAATAATACAATTGAAAAATAAATAATATTCACTTACCGCAATGAGAAGAGTAATATTCACAATGAAATTCTTTGTAGAAAATGCATTTTTTGGAGGGCATTATTTAAAAAGAAAACGGCTGCAATTGCAACATGTGAGGTTAGAATATAAGTTAAATACAAGATTAAAAATATTATAACTATTAATTTTGCTACATATTTGTTTCAGTTAAAGTAGTTTTTAATAAAAAATTTCTTTTTTTTCTATTTATATGGAATAAAATTATTGAACATATAAAAAGTTACGATCAAAATAGAGAAAACCAGGGATGAAAGTAACGATTTTGCTACTAAAGTCTCTCATCTAAATTATACTTTTTTTAATTTTAGAAGATAGATTATCACTTCTCTACTTATCATTTAGTATAGTTGTTATTAATAAGAACAATTCAAAGAATGATTTTTTAAAATAGTTAAACATGCTTTCTTTCAGAAACTATACTGAACTAGAAATTATTTTGTTACTTGTTATTACAGCCTTATTCTTACGGTATGTTATAAAAATGACTAAGAAGATTGTATATTTATATATAACACATTTATATTTATAAAATAACTTTTAAGAAAGTATTTAAGGAATAGAAAATAGTTTATTACCAATCGATCTGTCTTACCAATCTATAAACTTATAACTATAATAGTGATCATTTATCCAAATAAAGCAAATGGACAAGAAGGCATGCTATTTAAATATACACTTAAATGTTTAGAGTCATATTTACAAAGTATTTACAAAGTATTACACTTTTAGAATATATAAGAAAAGAAAAATAAGTATATTATGTGGGCATTCCATGCACTGCATTCATTTTTTTAGAACGATTATTGGAATAAAATTCAAAATATAAGAAGAAAAAATAATTAACTTCGTTTTATTAGAAAAGAATCAATTTGTTTTCTTCTTTTTTTTGTTTGATTTATTTTTTATTTTTGTTTTTTTATTATTTATCATGAACAAATTTTTTTGTATTAAATTAACTTTTTACTTCTTTAATTTTCGACTTTAATTTTTATTGTTGTAAATGTATTAGTCGTTATTTTCTTGTGTATTTCTTTTCTCTGATTTTCCAATTAATCGATCTTTGATTTGCAATATGTTATTTTTGTTCTTAGATAGAATTTCTTCAGATATATTTATAAATATTTTAAATATACAAAAGTTAAACATGAAAATAAATTTTAATTTATTATTACACGAATATATAATAAACAAACAATAATAATTAACAATTATATAAATAAAATTAATATAGTATTTACAAAATAATATTGAATTGAAACATTACTTTTGATGTGATTTTTTAACATAAACGTACTGTACAAATAATTGATCAACTTAACGTCTCGTGCTTTGAATAAAATCAACCAAAGCAGTCAACATGCTTGCTATGAAAACATGCTTGAACTCATTCATTTGTTTTAGATATAGATTTGCAATGTTACATTTGTTTTCTATGTTATTTCTTCCGTGGTCTCCCTTATGCTTTTGAATTTGATTGAATCGTTGCAATGTCAATCTCATAAAGCACTAGCAGCTCATAAACATAGAAAGGATAAAAGCTGATAGGTTGTTTGAAAGTATCGAAAATCAAATTGTTGATTTTATATGGAAATATTCCGATTATGCTGCAAAAGATAAAACAAGGACGCATCAGCAATTGAAAGTCTATAGTATAGAATATTTGTCTTTTTTTTTACTTTTTTATACTTAGAATTTTATTGACAAACTGAGAGCATTATCAACAAAATGTGTGTATACAAAAATCTATATCATATATTGCATTACCTAAAAATGATTAATAATGTTTATATTTATATTAATTTTATTGCGAAAATTTCTTTCTGACAATACGTAAGTAGATTGAATTTTAATAAATACATAAATCGACATAAATTTTCGATTAATCTACGAGATTGATATTTCGATTAATCTGTCAGAGAATTTCAATCAAAATCTTCAAATGCTGCCTTAAAACACTGTCATTTATTGCTATAGTAAGTAGCTTTGTTTTTTGATCGATAATTATTATTATATCTTTATAATATCTAATACTAAACAACTAAAAGCTTAGTTTAACTTATTATTTTAATAAATTTATGACAAACATAAGTTGTTATTACACTTGTTAACAACTATTAAAATTCTTTGTATTAATATAAATATATTAGCACAACTCAAATATAGAACGATTTTACACTTTTTTATTTTTTAAATGTGTATATGATATTGAATATGCAGCAAACGAGTAAATTAACTCACATTATTTATCTTTTTAATATTTGTATCAAATTATCAACTTATAATTTAATTATTTATTTATTAATTATTAATTATTTATGTATAATATTGTGTACATTGTAGATATGATATTGTATACTTACCGATTAAAGATTGCAACACTTTTTTTTAATGAATTTCGGAATGCAGTGTGTATCTGCTCACCAAGCAATTAGTTCTTACTTATGAAGTAAGTAAAAATCAATTGTTCGGTGAATAGGATGCATTACGAAAACCATAAGAAAAAAATCTTTTGCAACCTTTTGGTCGATGAGTGTACAAAAATATCATTAAAATACGCTACTGTTAGAAATGTAACCACGCTTTCTTTACATGTAAATGAAGCTTTCTTTACATGTAAATGAAACTCGTGGTTATAAATGAAATTAAATGAATGATTTAATTAAAAATTAAATTGCAGTAGTTACTTAAATGAAGTGAACGTGTACATTAAATTTATGAAATTTAATGTACTTTTAATAAAATTTTGTGAAAAGTACATTAAATTTCATAAACAAATTTTCATAAAAAATATATTAAATTTATAATATAATATCATGAAATTAAATTCAAATTGTGTAACTTAAAAGTTAATAAAATTTAAGAACATTTTTAACAGTGTAAGTACAAGAATATCATTAAATTACGCTGTGTACATTGCAAAACACTAATATTGTCGCGAAGGTCGTGAATAACAAATGTAATATCATGAAATGAAATTCATCAAGCTATAATGCAAATGCAACACTATTATCTAGAGTAGAATTAGTCGACTTTTTTATCTTGATAGATGAAATTGTTAACATTTACGTCATGGTCTACAGATAACATAAATTAATAGAAAATCAATTTTCGTATTTTAAAAATGGCAGAGATCGGATTTTACATATGAATTACATTATTGTAATAATACATAAATAATACATAAATTAAATTAATTGCCTTAAATTTTTTATTGATAAATAGATGGCAGATAATAAATATCTCCAAGTAACTGTTTAAGCAGCCCGTTAGATTTTTTTATATTTTTGCGTTAGAAATCTTAATACTGACTTATTGATATTTATATATTGATTTCTTTTACTTTAATGTAAAAGCAATAAAAGTATAAATTATTACATGATCTAATTATAGGCAAAAATAAAATTTTTTTATAAATAACATCTGAATGTTTTACATTTAAATGTCATACATTTAAAACATTGATGATAAATAAAAACATGTTAAGTTGCAAAGATGTTAATACTCAAGTAGTATAAAGTATAATTTCAATTTAATATGATATTGTTTAAATGTAAATTTCATGATTGTTTAAATGTCATGTAAAACATTATAGATACATTAACAAAAAATTTTTCGTTTTTAATATAATATTAGATTTAATATTAGATTCGTTTTATAATTTCTTTTTTTATTGCACTTACATTAAAATTAAAACAAATCGATATAAATATTAATAAAGTATAAATTAAGATTTCTACATACACATGTATATATATATATATATGTATATATGTATATACGTGTATTTTATTAAAACATTCTAATAAAAAATTTCAGTGAATTATTTGTGTAACATTTCTGGCAATTTCATTATCGCAATAATATTTCATTTTAAAAAATTGCATTAAAATTAATAAATACGTGCTGACGTTACCCACTATCTAAAATAAAATTAAAAAGATGAATAAATCACTTAAACAAATAAAATATAATGAATAATAATTTACCGCAGTGAGAAGCGTCGCGTCCATAATAAGACTCTTTGCAGAGAATGTATTATCGCGATGAAGAATTTGCAAGGAAAACAACTGCAACTGCAACATTAGACCGTAAATTAATTAATAACCAAATTAGAAAATGCAATTATAAATTCATATTATTTTACATATTAAATGTAAAATATATATATATATATATTAGATACTATAAGGTATACGGAGAAAATTTCTTTTAAAATTTATAGTTTAAGTTTAAGTTATTTATAATTTAAGAATATGATAGTTGTGATACAATACAATATTTTAAAGATTTTTACTATGCAATAAAATTAATTAAACTTTTATACTTTATTTTATACTTTATTAATGAATGAGAGAAGTTTACATTGAAATTCTTCAAAATACAATGTGTCTCACGACTTTCATATTTGCAAGGTAAATTCTAAGAAAAAATTCTCTCCGTGTGTATGTACACACACACACACACACACACACACACACACACACACACACACACACACACACACACACACACACACACATAAATATTACATTTTTTATTACCTCGTTTTTTATTTCATTATCGTCAATACTGTTAAGCACATCATGAACAGTGGTGCCAATCTGCAGAGCTTGATTCTTGCCTGTCTCACAAGCCCATATTATCAACATTATTTTTATAAAATAATGCATTAAAATCATTATCAAGAACGTATTATAAAGATATTCTTCTACATTAAACAGGATTATGCCTATTTGCCAATACAATATTTGATAGTAGAGAATGAAAGTTATCCGGGTAAAAGTTATAATTACAGTAGCGAGGAGCTGTAAACTGAAAATTATGTTCAGCATTTGCACTGTATTACTAATCATCAGGTGTTGTTTTTTCAATGCCCTTAATTCGATCAGCAATAATGGATTTCTTTGTTTGCAACATATTTTGTCGAGACGATATACCATCATATACTCCCGCATATTTTCCAAATTATCATTGATTCTCTTGAAACAAGCCTTTAGTATACAAACACAATTCATATACAACATATCCATATAAAATATCAATAGAGTAATATATATTATGTAAATTTTGATTATAAAATGCATATTCATCTTGTAATATATCAGCATTTCAAGAAGTAGGAACAAGGATCCTAAGAGATCCTTAGCGTGAATTAATTTAGATAGCTTCTGGTATAATTCCGAAGGCAATTTTGATGAAATGTCTTTTACGGTTTGAAGTAAACGCATTCGCGGTCCGCTCAAAATGTACGTGACAATCGCTATAAAACCACTGAATATGTAGAAGCAACTATAGTTGAGTATTTGGGGTATTTGATATCCACTTCCAAACGAATCAAATATATAGAAAATATATAGAGAGTACAATAAAAAAATGATGCAAATACAGATAACGATGGTTGAAAGAATATAACGAGGTGTGGAAATCTCGAAGACCAATGCATTAATTTTATACGGAAACATTCCAAGCATGTAGCAACATGTGAAGGAAGGATACATCAATGATTCAAAATCCGTAGCGTGAAATAGCTTCTGCAATTTTTTCTGCATTTTGCCACTGGCCCGTCTTTGCAATTTTGACAATGAACTGAACATAATTAATAATTTATGAAAGAATAGTTTAAAATTATTAATTATTTTATAAACTTTATCAACAAGTGAAACGTAATTACGATAGCTTTATTCTTGTTATGTCTTTAAAATTTATCTCCTTATACAGTATACAAATACTGTATACTGAACTTTCGATCTACTCACACTGAATTGAAATTTAAAACTACAAGAAATTTTTTTCGCGTCAAATGGAATTCAAAGAATTACTTGTTTATAGTTGTAAAGTAACTATGGCATCCTTCGATCGAAATTGAGGCATAGAACATAATATAAACGAATAATATGTAATTCCTGTGAATTATATATGTATACACGAAGCAAGAGATGTAAACTGTATTAGTAGTAATATAGATTAGTGATTCTTTCAAGGATTCATTAATAAATACAGACCATTAAAAATTCTACATTTTTCTATTTTGCAAATGAGATGTTCGACGTTTCTGTATCATGACTCTTTGAGTTTCAGTCTTTTTGGTCTCACAACATATATGTATATACACATTACATATATACAAATGTGTAATTCAAGATGCAAAAATATTATAATATTTATTTTCTATTTATCCAAAATGTTATTATTAATATTTAATTTCTGAGTTTAATTTACTGATTAATTATGAATTACAAATACTTTTGACTATTTATTAAAATATAGTAAATTAAATTTTATATGCGTGCACGCATAAATATTTTACATACGAATACGATTATATAAATTATGCGTACATTTTGAAACACATTGGCATGTATGTATTGTTGCGATAGGCATATGAGCAAATATAATATTGTAAAATGTGTCAAGTTATTATGATGCAACGCCTTATCTAAATTAGAATTAATAGATTTTTATCTCGACTGATGAAAGTTAACATTTACGTCATACTCTACAGATATACTGTATAGTGGTCACAAGTTCATCAAAGAAAATCAATTTTTGTATTTTAATAATGATAAAAAGATGATTAGATGATGAGACATGAATTTATTATTGCGATAATGCATGTGTCGAATATTGCGTCATTTTATAAATTTATTGTTGATAAATGAAGGATAAATATATCTCCAAGGAACTATTTACATAATCTGTTACATTTTTATATATTTATTGCATATATTATACATCTTAATTTAATATAGACTTATTGGTACTTACATTGATTTATTTTATGTAAGAGCAGTGAAAATAGTAGATTATATATTAGGTGTACAATTTTGCTTCCGCCGTTTTTTTTCCGAAATTCGAGGCTTTATTGTAAAAAACTGATTATACATTTATGATTCAAAGTATTGTCCATCGCTGGCCACTACTTTCTCCCATCTTTCGGATAGCGTACGAACCCCGCGTCGAAAAAAGTGGTCATCTTTTGAGGCTATCCACGAATCAATTCAATTTTTTACTTCTTCATAAGACCGGAAGTGCTGGTCAGCCAGGCGTGTGCCATTGATCGAAACAAGTGATAGTCAGAGGGAGCAATGTCTGGAGAATACAGCGGGTGGGGTAGGACTTTCCATTTCAACGTTCCCAAGTCTTCAACGTTTCTATGTCTTGATCACTTTCGCAACATGGGGTCGAGCATTGTCATGCTGCAAAATCACTTTACTGTGTCTCTCGTTGTATTACGGCCGTTTGTCTTTCAATGCTCGGCTCAAACGCATCAATTACATTCGATACCGATTGCCTGTGATTGTTTTAGTCGGTTTTAACAGTTCATAATACACTACGCCGAGCTGGTCCCACCAAATACAGAGCATGACCTTGGAGCCGTGAATATTCGGTTTGGCCGTCGACGTGGAAGCATGGCCGGGAACTCCCCATGATTTTCTGCGCTTGGGATTATCGTAATGAACCCATTTTTCGTCTCCAGTCACAATGCGATGCAGAAATCCTTTCCGTCTTTGCCTTTCAAGCAGCTGTTCACAAGCAAACAAACGCCGTTCAACATCTCTCGGCTTCAATTCGTACGGCACCCAATTTCCTTGCTTCTGAATCATTCCCATGGCTTTGAGGCGTTTTGAAATGGCTTGTTGAGTCACTCTCAATGATCGTTCCAATTCTTCTTGATTTTGACATGAGTCTTGCTCAAGTAATGCCTCCAATTCTGCATCTTCGAAAACCTTCTCTCTTCCACCGCTATGCCGGTCTTCGACGTCAAAATCACCGTTCTTGAAGCGTTGAAACTCACAACACGTTCTTTCATTAATAGCGGCCTCACCATAAGTATTTGAGAGCATTCGATAAGCCTCAGCCGCAGATTTTTTCATATTGAAGCAAAAAATCAAAACCTCCCGCAAATGACGAGAATTTGGCTCGTAAACTGACATTTTCAATCGAGAATAATTTTATGATGCAGACACAAATCGACTAATGTTTCTGGGGTTATGTTGACAGATGCCCAAGTTTATTGTATGACGTCTATGATCTATTTCGACCACCACTTACCGCTAAAGCCATCTATAGGAAAACGGCGGAAGCAAAGTTGTACACCTAATATAACAGATCTAATTATGCTAAAAATTAAATTTTTCTAAATTTATCTAATATGTGCCAAATGTTTGTGGTTATCGCCATGTCGTGATCCATTGCAAATGCTAACGTTTCATTAACCTTGCCGTTTACTTCATCAAGAAATGAAAATTGAACCTTGAAGCGCGTGTGCAACTTCTGTGTTGTCTAGGAATACTAATAAAATAGATATTTACTCATTTAATGACATCTTTTCATTTCAGTGAATGTGTGTAGTATTTGTGGCAATTTTTTCCTCGCAATAATATGTCATGTTCAAAAATTACACCAAGATTAATAAATATGTGCTGATGTTATCCATTATCTAAAACCAAATTTTTTAAAAATGAATAAATCACTTTTGATACATAAAAATAAATGAATAATAATTTACCGCTGTGAGAAGCGTCGCGTCCATAGACTCTTCGCGGAGAACGTATTATCGCGATGCATAACTTGTAAGGAAAACAATTGCAATTGCAACATCAGAAAATTAATTAATAACAAAAATTAATTAATAACAAACTTGCAAAATGTAATTATAAATTTATTATATGTAATGTGTAAATATCACATTAGAGATTATATAATAATCATTAAAATTTATAAATTAAATTACATTTTTTTACTTACCATTTGCTTTCATTAACATCGATACTATTAAGCACGTCATGAACAGTGATGCCAATCTGCAGAGCCTGATTTTTGCCGGTCTCACAAGTCCACACCAACATTATTTTTATAAAATAATATATTATGGATATCGTCAAAAATATGCAATAAATATAATTGTCTACATGAAAAATGAATATGCTCATTCACCAATATAATATATAAAAATAGAGCATGAAAGTGGTCTGAGTAAAAGTCATAATTATAGTAGCGAGGAGCTGCAAACTGAAAACCTTGTTCAGCATTTGCACTGTTACTAATCATCAGATGTTTTATCAATGGTTTTAGTTCAATCAGCAAGAACTTCTTTGTTTGTGGCCGAGATGATGTATCTTATCATCCATCGCATGTTCTCCAGATTATTATTGATTCTCTTGAAACAAGCCTTTAGTATACAAACACAATTCATATACAACATATGAAATATTATCTGGACGTATAATATAAAAATCTTGATTATAATCGAATTATAATCGGATATTATAATATGGATACTTGTATTGAAATATAATGGCAATTGAATAATAATAAGGAAGAAAGAACCTAAGAGATCCTTGGTGTGAATTAATTTGGATAACTTCTGATATGATTCCGGAGATAATTTTGAAGAGATGGTTTGAAGCAAACGTATTCACGGTCCGCTCAAAATGTACGTGACAATTATTACAAAACCACTGAGTATGTAGAAGCAACTACGGTTGAGCATTTTGAGTATTATTTGATACTCCCAAAAGTATCAAATATATAGAGAATATATAGAGAGTACAATAAAGAAACACAGGTAACAAACAAACAAAAAAGAATATAACGAGGTATGGAAGTCTCGAAGACCGAAGAGTTGATTTTATATGGAAATATTCCAAGAATATAGCAAAATGGTGAAGGAAGGATACATCAATGATTCAAAGACCGTAGCGTGGAACAGTTGCCATCTTTTCTACATTTTGTCATTGACTCGTCTTTGTAATTTTCACGACGAAGTGAACATGATTAGTAGGATGTCACTAAAGAATAATCTAAGAATTATTAATCATTTTACAAATGCATTTCATCGTCAAGTAGAATGTGATTGCGAGGTCTTTATTTTTAAGTGTTTTTAGAATTTGTTTTTTTACAATGAATATGTGCACTGATATGGATTCTTCACTGTCAATCTACTCACATTGAATTTTAATTTAAGACTGTAAGAAGTTTTTACATGAAATGATAAAAATTTTGAAAGAATTTCTTGTTAGTTATCAGATAACCATGGTGCTTTTTAATAAATATTTATCATTGTTCATAAATACTTATCATCATTTATTAGAACATAAAAGAATAATATGTAATTGGGACATGTGCATAAATGAAGCAAGAGATATAAATTACATTATAGATGTACATCAGTGACTTTTTTAAGAATCCATTAACAAATCGTTTTTATACTCTTATATTCAAAATTTATTTTACAAATGAGATGTTTAATCTTTCTAATTATGATAGAGAAATCATAATTTTTCGAGATTTAATCTTTTTGGTTTTACAGACAAACAATATGTACATATGCACATATGTACATTGTACATATACAAATGTGTAATCGGGATGCAATAAGATTAATAAAATTGCTATTTTCTACTTCTATAATACATAATGTTATTCTTAATTCCCCGAACTTTATACAGATTGATTAT